GTCCTCTTGATTAATTGGAGGATTGCCCTCATAATTTCCAGCTTCTTGCAAGGATGATGTCTGAACCTGATTTGCTGACCCCATCCCTTTACTTCTTGGCTTCCAACCAGGGGGTAGCCATGCTTTTTATAGCACTTTTCAATAGTATGACCTGTATATCCACAGAAGCTACATACAGGTTTTTGTTTCTGGCTGGGAAAAGGTTTTCTATTGCCATTAGTCTTGGTGAAAAAGGCAGTTTCACCTATTATACTATCCCCCGGAGAGTTTGAACCAACAGTGACTTGCCTCTCTTGTTGTGAAATGTAACACCCCGTGTTACGACCCCTAAGATCAATTAAATCATTTAATCAATTACCCAAAAAAAAGAATTAAATCACAATAATTAATTAGGAAGGCCCACCATAGTCCACGGGCCCTTACCCCTAAACCCAATCCTTAGTCCCAAAAGAAATAGAACTAGCAAGCCCATAATATTAGTTCCTAACTAGGACACCTAAATATATAAATAGGGGACTTAAGGGGCACCTAGAAACCCCCACCACAAGAATAACGCCCACCACCCCAAAGAGCTCCAAGAATCCCCCTAGAAGAAATCAAGAAAGCAAGAAAGCTTAAAGAAAGACCCTTCATAGCCAAGGAATTAATTAAGGCTAAGAGGTAACCCATGTCTCAACAAAACCTATTTTCGTAGCTATGATTTCCCTCGTAGGATTTCCCCATATTATTGTGTATTGATGATTTGTGATGTTATTATTGATGACTGATGGGATAATTCCATGGGTGATCTTGATATCGGGAGATTCTTGATAATTATGGTGTTCTTAACGATTACGTTGAGTTCTTGATAATTATATGTTGTTCTTGATAATTATATGTTGCGCTTGATAATTGTATGGCGTTCTGGATACTTATGTGTTATTTGTACCGGATCTTGTAATTAGAAGACGAATCGTATTCTCGTTGGCATAAAAGTGATTAGAACCCTAGGTTGTATCGTATGGAATTATTCTTGGTATATTGGGTGGGAATTCGCATGATTGGGTGTTTATTATGTTTAGAAAAGCATGATAGGTTATGTGTCGATGGTTTCCTGATTTTGATCCGTTAATTGTCTACGTGTGTTATCAATTGCGTTTGAAAGTGTCCAAGCATGGTTTCGGGTTCCACAAAGGTTCCCGGAGCGTTTCTTGATGAAAAGAGTCAGTGGGGGGTAGGTGGGCGTAGGGGACCCGCCACCTACCCGCGGCCTCCTTGGGCAACGTCGGCAGCGGGCAGCCGGCGGGCGGGCAGCTGCCCGCCGGGCACCCGCTGCCCGGTTTTGTTACCGCCGACGGGTGATCCCTCACCCACCGGCTACCCGCTGGTTTTCACCCCAATTGGGGATCTTGGCTTCCCCGTTTGAAGTTTCCCCGACCCCCGAGGTGTCCCAACGGACTCCGTCTATCGTGCCTATGTCTAGTTTGATATTTCGGGTACCGTTCGTAGGTTGTATGAGTCTTATATATTGCATGCTAGTTGAATTGGTATCCCGCTGACCTAGGTGAAAGGAAGTATGAACCCTTAGGACTATTCTTAGTATGTGAAGGATCAAGCATAGGTTTCGTTATACGTTTCCTCCCCTTCCTAATAAGTTAATGTGGGTTGCATGTACTTGCTACGTGTTATGTGTGCGTGTCACCCCGAATTGGTTGAGATCAATCGGGTTATACGGGCAGTCGGGTGGGCTGAGAACCATACCGGCTGTTAACCAGGCTGGTAGAGACCGGTCAGGTATATAAACATTATATCGGACTAAGTTCCACTATACGGGCAGTCGGATGGGCTGAGAACCATACCGGCTGTTAACCAGGCTGGTAGAGACCGGTCAGGTATACAAATATTATATAGGACAAAGGTCCACTATACGGGCAGTTGAATGGGCTGAGAACCATCCCAACTGTTAACCAGGCTGGTAAAGACCGGTCAGGTATATAAATATTATATAGGACAAAGGTCCATCAGTCGGTTGCGATCGGCTCCTCCGTAATGTGAGACGGGGCAGGGTGCTGCGGGGCCGTGTCAGAGCTATATGCGCTGACCCTCATGTATGGGCATGCGATTGGTCCTGTGGCGCCAACAAAGTGTGCTATGTGATGAGATATGGAGGAGTTGTGTTTATGAGTATACTGGGGGTGTGACTAAGGGATTTATGCTGGGGACTGTTTACATTGGGTTATGATTATTAATTGTGCTCAGCTCTATCTGTCTTGCCTGTGGAGGATTGTATACGCCTGTTATAACTGTCGCTTGTGTCTAGCCTTGTCTGTCGAGTCATTCCCGGTTTTAAAAGCTAGAGTCTCATAGGATATATCTTCATGCTTCAAAATGGTTTTCGTATATCTATATATATATCTATATGTATTGTATTTCAACGCGTTGGAGTGGGTTACCAGCATCTCTCGCTGAACAGATATATTTGGCTTTCAGGCACAGACGAGTTGTTCACTGGAGCGCGCTAGAAGCTTGGACGTAGCTTAGATAGTTTTTCCCTTTCGGCCTGCGTGCCATGATTTAGTACAGATACTATTTGAGGATATTAGTCAGTTAGCCTGTGCACCTGAGTTCTCTAGCTTAGGTGTGGCATAGCACCCCATACTCTTGTACTATGTTTTGGGATTCAACAAGATTTCACCTTTATTTTATAAGTTTTAAATATCCTGAAAATCTGGGGTGTTACATGAAACCATAGAGAAGGTTTCTCCAACATCAGGGAGTGGCCTCATCAACATGATCTGGTGTTTGGTATTAGTGTAGTTCTCATTGAGGCCAATGAGAAAGGCTGACAACATATCATTCTCCAGATGATTTCTAACCTTCTTAGACAGGTCACTTCTACAGTTACAACTTGGTGAACACTCACAAGCAGGAACAGGCCTAAATACAAGTAATTCATCCCATAAAAGCTTTAATTGAGTGAAGTATTCATTTACCATAGATGTGCCTTGTCTTGTCTAATAAATTTCTGCTTGAATTTCAGAGATACGGAACACGTCCTGCTGGCTGAAACGTTTTCTCATATCATTCCATACGCGTTCAGCTGTGTTGATCTATAACACGCTTCTACCAACAGTAGGTGAGAGGGCTCTGAGGATCCATGATAGGATCATAGTGTTGCATTGATCCCAAAAAAAAAAATACATAGGATCAGATCTGCTAGGGATCACCATCGTCGCGTTGACTAGAACCATTTTGTTTTTGGATCTGAGCGCCATTTCCATGGCTCTTGCCCCATGGGTGGTAGTTTGATCTTCCCTCCAATTGGACGGTCACAAATTGCAGCGATGGACTCTCATTTGGATGAAGGTAAAGAGGATCAGTCCGATCCTTAGGATCAAAGCCAACAGCTACTGGAACTGGAATTGGAGCGGGTGCCGGAATTGAAGTCGGAATCGCATTCGAAGTTCCAGCATGATTGTTGGATTTGCAACCATTGATGGACGAATTGTGTTTACAGAGGGTGTACGCCAAGCCATAGTGGCTCTGATACCATATTGGGAAACTGAGATGAGAGTTTCCAAAGTAACAAAGAGAGAAAAGAAAACTGCGTGTCTCTGTATTGCAACTAGTTTACACGTATACAAAGCTACATTAGCTAACTGGAAAGAAGCGGGAAGAAAGAAGCTATAAAGCTAAGCTAACAGAAATCAGTTACAAGAAGTAGTTGCATGGATATTTATAGAGGAGGCTGTTGACTTGACTTGTGCATCTGTTGACAAATATTGTGATACAAAGTGACTCCGTCAACGTGGTCAACCATATCAATGACTCCCTTTTTTACGCTAACGGAGGTGGAACCCTTTGCAACAACATTTTTGAATGCAAAGCTTGGATCAAGAAAATTGGAACGTGAAGTTCATCTACATTTTGAGGGAACAGAGTCAATTTGCGGATTGGCTTGCAAAGAATTTTGCCCCTAACCACGAGTTGACTGTGTTGTATATTTGCCCTAACGCCATGCTCGCATATTGCATTTGCAAGGATAGTTTTGGTGTTCCCTATGTCCGCGGTGACTGATCGTTTTGTTTTCCAGGGTTCCACCCTTCCCTTGTATTGAAATAAATAATATAATAGTGTGTACGTTTATCCCAATGTGAAGTCATTGAAAACATCAGTATATTGTTTTTATTTTAATAAGTATGATAATATTTACAATTTAATATATATGTGAATATTTAAATAACAATACTTAACACTTTATAAGTCATATCCGTGCATCGCACGGGTACAATACTAGTTAACTAAAACTATCATGCGTGTAATATCTACTACTTATTTAGATATTATGTTTTTTACAGGTATCATGCTCAATAGAAAAATTTATAATAGGCACACACGGACTTAGCTTAGTGGTTAGTAGGTAGTATTAATTTGGAGAAGAAACGGCCGCAACTGTGTGAGAATTACGCCCAAAGTGGGCAGATTACTTGTGCACACCGGTATTTGGTCCTGTCTATTAAGCTATTGAGTTACCGTGATTTACCTCATCTCACATCATTGTTGGAAATCCTGCTATTTTCGTCCAACGAAAATTGGACGGAAAATGGGGGATATTAGTCGAAAAACGGGTTTCCGTCCAACATTCTGTCCAAAATGAGACCTCGGAAAAATGAACATCGGTAATTCTGTCCAACATCAGATATCGGTCGGTATTTCCGTCCAACGGGTCAAAGTTGGACAGAATTTCCGGATGATAACCCAGCATTGTTAAAATGGGAATTTCCGTCCAACTTTGACCCGTTAGACAGAAATACTGCCTCCATGTTGGTCGGAAATCCTCCTAGTGCATTATGTTAATTTCCTTCCAACTGTTGGTCAGAAATTGTGACCAACTGTGTTGGCAGGAAAATCTATATTTATATCAATTGTTTTTATTATTTTGATTTTGATCTTGCAATAATTTTGTTTTATCTGTTGTCAATACATTCTATATCATTTACAAAATAATGTACACACTATCCAAACTCAAATTGAAAATATATTTAAATATCAAAATTATTTTCAATAAAAACATAGTATTGTGTCCAATCCATAAATATTTAAGCAATAAACTATTGCTATACATACAAAAAAGTCATAAAAATATAAAGTACTTAATCTTCATCAAAAGGAACTTGTTTTTCATCATTTAGTCAATCTCCCGGTTAGCTCCAGTTTAATCTCAAGAATTTGTGCCCTCATCTACAAAAATTAAAAAAGCAATAGAAACATGTATATTTAGATGTCAAGTGCAACCCAACGTAGACACTAAGGTGAAGCAATTTAGTCTAAAGCAAGAGCCAAAACATGAGTAAAGTATGAGGGAACCATATCCAATAAGAGTAAGAAGAAACTGAAAATGAAGCAAACAAGTTATTTATCTTTAAAGCATAATAGATACACTATAAGGGGGGGGGGGGGGGAGAGGGGGGGGGGGGGAGAACAAATAATTAAGGTGGAAAGTCTAAACATAGTAACTACATAATAAGATGCTTAGATAGTTAGATATGAACCTGCTATTGACTGAAAAAAAACTCATCCAAATTCTTTCCCTGCTCTGCACAACTACAAAATGTGACAAACATTAGTGCGAGTGCTAAGTGCTCACAGCTCTGTTCTCATATTAAAGAATTCTACGAATCCTTACATAATCAAATACATCATGTTTCAAGTGTTATCTGAAGAAATATTTATAACTCCAATCAAATAAAATTATGTTATACTCATGCTAGTATAAGAAAACAAGAAAACAAGAAAACAAACAAGCACTACAACAGTATACTTAGATAACAGGCAAGTTCTCAAGACTTCTAAGTTACAAGACAGTACCTCCAGCAATTTGCTCAACAGTTTACTTAGATGTCTATTTCTGCATACCTTATAACAAAGAAACAAATAAACAAGACTATCAGCATCAGTTGTAGTACCAAAACAATCATCACAGAGAATCTGCACAGTCCTACAACATATTTAGGCAAAACAGCACTACAGTAACCACTTAAGTCATGTGCAGAGTAAAACATTTGAAGTTAATATTTGTTTTATACACTTAATAATGACAGTAATGCATCATTAACCGGCATAAATCTTTTTCTATGACATTAAATGCATTACCCCAAAAAGAAGAGATACATTTCGTAAGATCCCATTTCATGAGGATTTGATAGTGCCTATGCCAACTCTTATGTACAACCGTGGTAGACAAGAAGCTGAAATATTTATCAACAGCATTGTGAATCATTTCCTCGTAATCCAAAATGCATATATACCCACCAAACACTACAATTAGCTGGGGAGAAAACAAGTGCAGAAATAAGAATTCATAACATTCATATATAGGTACATCTAATGAGTGAGTAAAGGATGAAACATGAAAGGTAGAGTTGATGAAGCCAGGAAAATGTAGAAAGAAACATTATATATATTATTGTACTTACTGCTTGCACAATCTGAACAAAAAAATCCTTAACCACAAAGAGCTTGTGCTTTACTCTTGTGACGATGTCAAATATCACCTATTTCACTTGTAATCGAAATGCTGCATTACAAGTGGAGCATTAAAACCCAAAAATGAAGACATAAATGCGTTTCGGAAGTTGTGAGTATTAGAACCCCAAAAAGAAGCAAGTTGAAATAAACTGCAATCACAATACTAACACAACCTTCGCACAAATATTCATAAAAAATGCTCCAGTGTCAATATGTTAAATTCTAACTCAAATGATATGAACCTAGTCCAAGGTTCAAATAAAGATGGAATATTGTCCCAAGAATGCTCTCAAAACTAAATATAGAGATGGATTAAAATACCTTATACCTCACAAGAAACCCATTGTCTCGAATCCTCAAAGACTGGGAAGAATCCCATTGTAGCTTCAAGTACCTCGATGATGCAATCTTCAATCAACTAGAGTCGGATCTAGTTTCCTTCGATTCAAGAACGAGTCCACGAACCTAACTCTAAGGTTGAAGAAAGGAAGATTGATTCGAGCCCATGAATCAATTTGCTAGTCGAGTCCATGACTAGCTACTAATTGAGTCCACAATTAGCCATAAGGTTTCTTACACAAGTGTAAAGAAAAAACTTAAGAATTTTATTGAATTAAAGCCTCCTCAAAACTGATATGGATGTGCCCTATTTATAGGTATAGGGGAGCATTGTAATCCTAAATACAATGGGAAGAAGAGTCCTAAACCAAATCTAGAAAGCAAGTAAATATAGTCCTATTTAGAAAGGGATTTAAGGAATCCTTTTCTAAATACAAAAAGAGTCCTAAACCTAATCTAGAAAGCAAGTAAATAGTCTATTTAGAAAGGGATTTAAGGGATCCTTTTCTAAATACAAACTAGTATTTTCTCTTTAATTCCAAACAATTTAAAATAATGATGACCACAAATAATAAAGCTGATTTGGGCCTTGGATCTTGTGATTGGCCCAATTTGTACTTTTAATGGATCTTCATTATGTTGGGCTGCATCATCCTCCCATTCTTCAAAAATGATTCGACCTCGAATCTTCTAAACATTGTCTTCGATTTGTGACATCATTTGAAACGGGCCACTTATAATACTTTCCTCTATCGAATAGAATTTTTATTGGACTTTCTTGTTTCTTCCACCATTAATGCTTTAAGGGTGTATTTATGGGCCTTGTGATGAGCCCACTATTTACCCTTACTAGATTCCATGTGTACTGGTTCCTATTATTCTCCCCTTCTTGAAAAGGATTCGTCCTCAAATCAAAATCTTCAATGAAAGACAAAGTAGCAAGCTCACTTTCTGTTTTATCACGCTCATGGAAGTTTTTCTTGGGATGCTTGACACGAGTCGCTCCAATCATCATCATACAATCAACAAGTAAGGCAATTAAGTCTAATGACACATCATGGAATTTAAACATTCTGGATGGTAATAATTCAACAAAATGAGACATATAAAATTTAGGCATCTTGTTTGAATTGTCAACAAGCACAAAATCTTTCCTCCTAGAGATTAAGGTAAAATCAAACAGAAAATTCATGGAAATATCAAGTACTGATTTAGATGTATTATGGTGGTGAGTAGCACAATTCTGAACATACGATTCTACATCTTTTTTCTTCTTTGGCCAATGAAAATATCCATGCAAAACATCGTCACTCTTTGGAAAATTAAAATGTCCCTTATGTGAATCAACAATTAAATCATTGCCCAAAACAAAGCAAAAAGTGCCAATCCCATTGACTTTGAACCAAAACCCCTTGTGCAAGTAATATTTGACATAAGAAGTTTTCAAATGTGCCTTATAAATTCCAAGTGATTCCTTATCTCTATCAAATAAAGTTTTAGTAAAATCAAAATTAAGGAATCTTGGATGTATGGAGGCAAACAAATTTCTAACACATCTAACAAGTATGTCATTAATAGAAACATGGCAAACAAATCTAGAGAATTTTAATGCATGCTTTTGAAATAAAAGTGAGTAAATAGTTACTCCCCTTATTTTCTCTTGCTTATTATCCTTTTTTGTTAGCAAGCGAGGCTGCACTTTGATAGCTCTGGCTGGTTCTTTCCATTGTACCACTGATAGCGGTTCCTTTGTTTGGCTACAATCTAGGTTAGAGGATTGGAGTGGTGACTCCAATTCTAAACATGGAGGTTCCAGTTTGCTCTCTTTGATATCTTCTTTCTTCATGGCTGGTTTGAGAGCTTGATTCGATCTCAGTTGAATTTCTTCTACTTGTTTAGGAGACAAAGGAGGCAAGACATATGTAATTCCATTCATATGAAACACATAAGTGTTCCTCATTCCATCAAAACTTATTTTTCTGTCAAATTGCCATGGTTTACCTAACAAGATATGAGTATCCTGCATTGGGATAGTATCACACAAGATTTCATCAGAGTAACTGTTAAAAGATAAAGGAATAAGAGCCTGTTTGGTAACTCTAACTTCTCCTGCATCGGATAACAACTGCAAACAATAACTGTTCAGGTGATCAAACAAAGGTAACTGAAGAAATTTAACCATAGCTGAAGTAGCCTCATTTGTGCAACTTCTGGAATCTATTACCATAGCAGAAGCATTCCCTCTAATTAACCCTTTAGGACAAAATATATTTTCACTTTGAGACTCATCTTCTTTTATAGGGTGAACATTCAAAACCTCCTTAACAACATCAGTATGACTAGACTTACTATCAACATCTTTAGAATCAAAATCTAAAGGTATAAATGGTTCCCCCTCAACATGTTCATTGGGGGTTTGAAAATGGTCACAAACCTCATCCTCAGATTTATATTCAAGACAAGAAGTAAATTTTTCAGATTGTTTTGTTATCTTAACTTCCCACTTGTTAGGGCAATCACGAGCTATGTGGCCTCTCCCATTACATCTATAACAAATCAATTCTCTATCATGTTGAGGCCTCACTGCCTCACTTACCTTATCCTTACCTTTTTCTCGTGAATCATCTGTTAGAGGAAGATGTTCATCACACCTTTGAGGGGTTGAACGAGTGTTGTTCCATCTTGATGCACCATTGTTGGACTTGTACATTTTCATCTATTTTATTTTTGCCTCAGATTCACGTGCAGCATACAAGGCATCATAAAGGGTTTCATATCTCTGAATACTCATTCCACATCGAATGTCTAAGTTCAATCCATGTACGAAACGAGCAACAGTTTTTGTCCCTTCTTCATGTATATTTCCCTGTTCAAGCAAAATATTTATGGTTTGGTAGTACTCATCAACTGACTTTGTTCCTTGCATCGTTCCCTGCAATTTTCTTTCAAGATCATAGAAAAAAGATTTAGGACGAAAGGTTAGGCACATATCTTCCCTCACTTGAACCCAAGATTCATAAGGAATAAAATTAGCAACTCTCTCTCTATTTCTTTTTCGCCACCAAGATAATGCATGCATACCCCTTAAAAGATGTAGCAACTAGCCTAATTTTTGTAAGATCAGAATATTGCTTTAAATAAAAAAAAGTTTCAACAGCATTCTCCCATTCTATGTATTCGGTAGGTCCTTTCTCACCAGTGAAGTTAGGAATTTCAAGTTTAATGTTTCCTAACTCCGCATTACGCTGTTGGATCCTTTGACGTCTAGGCTCCACTCTTCCTACCGGTGGCAAATATTGCTGATCATTGTGTATCGATTGCACTTGCTGAGGGTGTTGCTCCAGATTATTTATTTTTGTGAGTAACCTTTCGTGGCGAAGGTTAGAGCATCTATTTTCTGCTCTAATCTCTTACGTGTATTTGGAACCTCTTCAGTCATCTGTAGATGAGAAACAAAATCTCAAAACAAGAAGATATGTGAGTATTCATGTTAGTGAAACCATAAAGTTGGCTCGCTTCCTCACTATTCTCAGCTCGCAGGTAAGAGGTGGATTATATGGCTCTGGGGGTGCACTACACAATCTTACAAACACACACTCCACTGTGTATCACTCCAAGTGGCAGATACTCTCACAAGCCTTTTTCCAAAAAGGAAAATTCTAGTCCTGAACTCAAGTTGATATGGATTCAACCTCAAAGTTCAAGAAAACGTACCTCGGAAAACTTCACAAGCCTTTGAGAGTAAGGTGTATCGCGAGGTAGGTAATAAAATTAAGAGCAAGAAGCAAAGAAAAAGGACAATACAAGCAAAGAAACTAAGCAAGATTTGAAAGAAAAAGAGGAAGCAAAGAAAGAAGTATGACAGAAAGATATGTAGGGCCAATATTAGAAGATAGACACAAATATAATGTAATAGGTGTGCAAGTGTACCACAACCAAATAAGATTATATCAAGAACTACTTCCAACCTTATACTTTTCTCATCCATATCCCTCCAAAATTCTCCTACCAACCAGATTCTTTCCCCAACCTTATTCTTCTTCTTTATTGCTTTCTCTTGTTTTTTTCTTTTTTTTTTTTTTTTTCAACTTTCTTGATTTTTTTGATTTTTTTTTTTATAAGTAACCTCCAAATAACTACTGTAAATATCAACAAAAATTTTGGACCAAGAAGATCCACACAACTCCTTCAAAACATAATCAAGAATTTCAAGAATCACACAGAAAAACAGAAACGCTGCCCTCACTTCGAAGATCAATATCTCAATGACCGTAATGAATTAGCATGTCTATAATATATCAAAAGAACTCCCCAGAACTTGTATCAAGATTCAAGAAAATAATCAAGAATGCGAAGGAAAATTTTTTTGGCGTTTTTTTAATGAATAACACACGAAAAAAGTAGTATGTAAGATAAGAACGAGAAAAACCTAAGGAACCAAAGAAACCAAATTTCTAATGATGATGAGATAAACCAAGACACTGATGCCAAATTGATATGAACCTAGTCCAAGGTTCAAATAAAGATGGAATATTGTCCCAAGAATGCTTGTTGGTCCCAAAAGAGGTAAGGTGAAAGTCTAGAGGGGGGGGGGGGGGGGTGAATAGACTTTCAAACTTTTTTGCACAGCACAACAATTGCTAAGCCAGAGATAAACCAAAACTCTTAACTAGATTGTTAGAGTATGGTGCACAGCAGAAATAAATAAAC